TCAGTGTGGCTTAGTGGTTAAAGCACCAGCCCATGCACCAAAGGATTGTGGGTTCGATTGCAAGTGACCTGGGTTGCAGGTTCAATCCCTGGCCCCAGTTAGAGTGCACACGGAGGCAACTAATCGATGTCTCTCTTACATTGATGTTTCTCTCTCTCTCCTCTCCTCTCCTCTCTCTCCTCCTTCCCACTCCCCTCCACTCTCTCTAAAAATCAATGGGAAAAATATCCTTGCATGAGGATTAACAAAAGCAAAACAAAAAATGGAATGACTGTGGTTGGGACTGCACAGGTCTGTCTTTACTTTGGGCCTTGCTTGAAGGATAGATTAGTTAGATTAACAGCTACTATAACAAACATGCCCCACTTTTTAATTATTTAACCACAATAGGTATATTTCTCACTCATCTAACAGGTTGGTAGGTTGCTTTCTGCCACATGGCAATTCAGGCTCCAGAGCTCCTCCTGTCCCGTGACTGTGCCATCTCCCATTCTGTGGGCCAATGGTTAAGGAACACATAGAGGAGTGCTGCAGGGTGCTAGCCCTGCCTGGAAGTGGTGCAAGTCACTTGCGTTCACATTGCATTGGCCAGAACTCAGTCACATGGCTGTACCTAACTGCAAGGGTGGGGGGCTGGAAAATGTCATTCCTGAGTGGGTAGCCACTCAGTGACAGTTTTTGCTACTCCAGATGGTTCGTTTATTAAGGCACCTAAAATATATTGTTGTAAGGTCATTGCAACCTTGGATGAAATGGCTGGACTCACAGGCAGCAATTACAGGATGCTTCCAGGGTGGGATTGTATTCTAAACAGAAATGTTCTATCTTTGAAAAAATATACACACCCTTCTGAAGTTCCCCCTGACAATGCCTCCTTGCAATTCATATTATTCAACTATGCTTGATTTTTAAGATACTTCAGGGGTAAATGTCAACTTTGGGGATTTTATTAATAGTATTATTTTTTAATGAGTCTTTTGAAGTCCCTTTCATTATAAACAGCCTGTTTTCCCCAGAGATAATAACTTACAGTGCAAAATATTTGCATTTCACTTGAAACAAAACCAAGGGTTTGAATGTTTTAAATATAAGCAAATCTAATTCTCTTGCGTCTAGAGAAACTGTATAATGAACCATATGTTTGTGACTTAAGCAGACAGATGTAGACAATTTCTTTCTCTCTCCTTTTATTTTTTCTTAAAAATGCTGGCAGAGCTCAAAATTGGCACCAAGCAGCATATATCTCCACCCAGCCAACCAAACCACTGGAGCTGGAGTTGAAATGGGGGAGGTCTCTTAGGGCGCATGCAAAACTGGAGGTTTTCCTGGTTTTGGCTTCTACTTGGAAGCCCAAGGGTCCACAGTTCACCCAGCCCTGTTTTTCAATGCCTTCAATCTTTGCAATAAGACATTTTGTCTTAGGTGACTGACTTTGTCTGAAAAGTTAGGTTGATTTTTGTGGTTGACTTTGGGTTCATTTGAAGATGGTTCTATATCTCCGGTCCTGCAACGAGATGGCCCCCTAGCTGCTGACAGAAAGGTTCCGAGCTGCCATCCCACTGCTAGAACCGGCCTTCTTCTGGTGGTGGCCATAAGGCTTTTTTCTCTTACTCCTCTCATAGCCCTCCCTACCCTGAGGTCACCTTGACCTCTGGTCGGGGTTACTGATATGGCCTTAACTAGTCATTTTACCTTTAGTCTTAAAAATATTTTCATTGATTCCAGAGAGGAAGGGAGAGGGAGAGAGAGAGAAACATCAGTGATGATAGAGAATCATTTATTGGCTACCTCCTGCACGCCTGTTATTTGGGATCGAGCCCAAAACCTCGGCATGTGCTCTTGATTGGAACTGAACTCAGGACCCTTCAGTCCACAGGCCAACACTATCCACTGAGCCAAACCAGCTAGGGCTTACCTTTAGTCTTTTCTCCTCCAATCTCCTCACTGAAGTGTTCTTTCTGTAACTCAAATCTGATTATTTCAGTGTCTTAATACTTATCTGTGGCTCCCTATTTTCTAGATACAGTCTAAACCCCTTAACCTGGTTCACCTGGGCCTTTATAATCTGGGACCTGCTTTCTGTTTGGACCATCTTGAGGCAATTCCACTAATATCCTCTCTGCACTGGCAGCCTAGTCTTTCTATATGTAGCCCAACCAAGCTACTTTCAGGAGATGGCTATTTTCTCTTGCTAGTATATATTGGGTGTTTTGCAAATGCTGTTCATTTTTCTTGCTTTGCCATGAATGTTCTATAGCAGTGGTTCTCAACCTTCCTAATGCCACGACCCTTTAATACAGTTCCTCATGTTGTGGTGACCCCCAATTTCATTGTTACAAATTGAACATAATTAAAGCATAGTTATTAATCACAAAACAATATGTAATTATATATGTGTTTTCCGATGGTTTTAGGCGACCCCTGTGAAAGGGTCGTTCAACCCCCAAAGGGGTCACGACCCACAGGTTGAGAACCGCTGGTCTATAGCATTGCTTTTTAAACTTGACTGTGGTTTGAATTACCCAAAGGGTTTGTTAAATCACAGATTCCTGGGCCCCAGTCCCAGAGCCACACCAGCCACTGTGCTTTTAAACAGAGGAATCAATCACTTTCTTCTGTCCATTCCT